AATGTTCACTGCTTGTATGTTTTTTCCCCTCAGCAGTGTAATGGGAAGAGAACATACATCTTATGATTGTTGTAAGACTTAAACGAGTCAATATGTTCAGTATTTTTGTTGTTGTTTTATTTTTTTTCAGCTTTAATTGAGTTTATTGGTACATTTTAGGGATACAGTACAGTTACATTCATTGTTGGGAATTTGTACCTCTACATGACAGGTCTTGGTTCTCATATTTTCCCCTTGTCCCTGCCCTCCCTTCACCCCCTCCTCCCCTCCCCATCTACAAACACTTTATTTCCATCTTTTCATTATCTCACATTTTTTTCTTTTCCCTTATTACCCTTCCCCTACTCATCCCACCTTCCCTACACCTTTAGCCCCTTTATTCCCATTTCACAATGTCAGTAATCTTATTAGGATCTTGTGTATCATTGCAGTTTATTCACACCAGAGAAACTATTTGGTATTTACACAAGTGTGACTTATTTATTTCACTTAGGAGTATATCCTCAATATGTATCCATTTTCCAATGAATTAATCTAATTTCTCATTCTTTATGCCTGAGTAGTATTCCGTTTTATAGAAAAACCACATCATCTTTATCCAGTTTCCAACTGATGGGCAAATGGGCTGTTTCCAAGTTTTAGCTATTACAGACTGTGCCGCTATAAACATGGGTGTGCATACATCATCACTGTGATATGATTCTTTTCGTTCTTTTGGAAAGATACCCAGCAGAGGGATGGCTGGGTCAAATGAAACCTCTTGTCCCAGCTCTTTGAGGTATCTCCATATTGATTTCCATAGTGGTTGCACCAGTCTGCACTCCCACCAACAATGGAGAAGGGTTCCTTTCTCCCTACAACCCCGCCAACATTTGTTATTGTGTGATTTCTTGATAGCAGCCATTCTTTGTGGGGTGAGGTGGAATCTCAGTGTTGTTTTCATCTGCATCTCTTGAATGACCAGTGATGTGGAACATTTTTTCATATATTTACTTGCTGCTTTTACTTCTTTGTCTGAGAAATGTCTGTTCATTTTGGATGCCCATTTTTGAATCAGGTCTTTATATTTGGGGGGGCTGATTGTTTTGAGTTCTTTATATAGCACTAAATTAAAATCCAAGTGGATTAAAGATCTAAATATTAAAACAGAAACACTAAACTTGCTGGAAGGTAAGTTAGCAGAACTCTGGAAGACATTGGCATAGGAAAAGACTTTATGAACAAATCCTCAGTAGCAAGGGAACTAGCAGAAAGAATCAACTACTGGGATCTCATCTTATTAAAAAGCTTCTGTACTGCAAAAGAAACCATCAGCAGAACTAAGAGACAACCTACAATGTGGGAAAAAATTTTTACTAGCTGTTCCTCAGATAAAGGACTATAATATGTTCAGTATTTACAGAAGTGCTTTGCACTTAATATATGTTTGTCACATAAAAGCGTTATTTATAATCCTACCACCTGTAACATAATTTATTAGAAGTAACTCCAACTAGTTTTGTATTAGGGACAGAAACCCAAACAAAATGTTTTTCTTGAGTACTTACAGAATGCCTTTGAAGTTTAATGTTTTATCAGTCATGTGTAAAACCACACATACGATTTCTGAGTAGTATTTATCCGAAGCATTGTAGAAATTGATGTGTATAGGCCTGTGGCAGAGTATAATTAAACAAATGGAAAAACTTTAATTTTATATAGTAATAAAAACTGAATTTCAGCTTATTCCAGAAAAGTTAGTTATACCTTCACTGCTTTTATTGTCCAAGTCTTCTTATAAAAAAAACAAAAACAAAAAGACTAGTTAATATCCCTAAATCTTTTGAATGATGATAATTGTAGTTTCTCATTTGTATAAATTCTGTTAATTTGAATTCCTTTCTGCAGTTAGCAAAAACAAACCAGTGTAATACCTACTCATAGCCTTTCTTCTTCTTACACTGTTTTTCAAATACTTAATTTGACATATATTAACCTGAAGTTGTTTTAATGTTGGGTGAACATAATGTTAAGTTTTTAAAATATTTGGCTTTCCATCTTTCATTTAATTGAGTACACATTAAGTGCTTAGTACAGTGTTAGGCCCCAAAAATGCTATTATGATTTCTCCATACTACTATAGAAAAATAAGGTTTATAAAAGCTATGGAAGAATCAAAACATGGTTATAGCAGAGTGAGACTTTGGGAAATGACAGTCTCAGGAATGCTGCTCTGAGGAGACAGTGTTTGAATTAAGAGATACATTGAAATCTGATGAAAGTCAGTTGGGCCATGGAGGAATGGAGGAAGATTTTGCGCAATAGGGAAGAGTAAGTTTGGAGGACCAAAGGAAGAAAGGATATTTTTTGACAAGGAAGAGACTAGTATGGCTGGATTATGGTATATATCATTTTTCCCCCAGTGCTAGGAATCCAACTCAGGGCCTCACATGCTTGTTAAGTGCTTTACCAACTGAGCTATCACCCCAGCCTTCTTCTTTTTTTTTTTTTTTTTTTTTTTTTTTTTTTTTTTTTTTTTGTGGTGTACTGAGGATTGACTCTAGGGAACACAGAGCTTACCCTTCCACCCTTTTTAAAAATTTGAGACTGGGTTTCCCAAAGTTGCTCAGGCTGATCTTTAACTTGTGATTGTCCTGCCTCAGCCTCCCATTTGGCTGGGATTTACAGGTATGTGCCACTGTGCCTGGGCCCATGGTTTGTTTTCTTTCTTTTTCCTGGTGATTGAACCCAGGGCCTTCACACTGAACTACATCTCCAACCTTTTTCTTTCTTTTTATTTTGAGACAGGGTCTCACTAAGTTGTTCAGCTGCCCAAACTGGGCTTGAGCCTCAGGCTCCCAGAGTGCTGAGATTATAGGCTTGTGCTGTCACACCCAGATCTCAGTGGTGTTCTAAATACCATTTATTTTAAGTATCAGAGTGGATAATATTAATAACTGACATTTAATGCTCTCTAGGCCTTGTGCAGTCCCTCATCTTGCTCTGTGAGGCTCGTTTGGTTGTCTTTCTTCTGTAGCTGATGGAAATGAGGCCTAAGGTAGTTGGCAAACTGACCCAAGGCAATCCAGCTAACATGTGGCATGTCAGGAACTAGGAAGTGCGTTTTTGAGATTCATAAATTTTGAATACTGATTCAAAAGGCTGGACTTGAACTTGTAGCCATCCTCCTGTCTCAATCTCTTAAGCCTGGGCTACAGGCATGTACCACCATGCCCAATCATCTGCTTTTTATATTTTAAGCATATATCTGCTGTCTAAAAGAGACATTTTAATTCAGACTCCTATTAACGAGTTGGCAACAAGGGTGACTTGTTGGAGATATATCTGGAGATGTGAACTAATTTGCCTTGTTCAGTAATAAGCCTTTGTCTTCAAATACCATGGTAGGCATTTTTTGTGAGTCTTTTCAGGAAAGGAGGACCTAGGGCTGGGGATTTAGCTCAGTGGTTCCGCCGCCTGCCTCACAAGCACAAGGACCTGAGTTCTATCCCTGGTACCAAAAATAAATAAATAAATAAAATAAAAACAGGAAAGGAGGACCTTTGCCCTTCCTGCACTTTTATGTGAATCATGTGTATAGTGTTCAGTAACCTTCAGTCACCTTTGGGCAGGCATTCCAGTAGATATAGTTAGAACCTGGTGGCTTAGTGCTAAGTTGTCACTGCTCAGAAATGTTTACTTAGTCTTTTTCAGGGTGGGGTGACCAGGAAAGTGACATATAGGAAATGTGTAGTAGATGAGCACCTCCGATAATTGGCAGTTTGTTAAACTAGGTTCTGCCTTGCCTTTTGGTTCATCTGTGTCAGCAGGAGAGATTGATTGGCTGCTTAGGTGCAAGAGAGTAAAATGAGAAGAGAAAAATTATTGAGTGCTTAGAATGGGCCTTTCATAACTGCTTTATATAAATTCATGTTATATCACAGAAGCCTATGAGGCATACAGTATTGGCTTAATTTTATACCCTACCACTGGGACACAAAAATTTTTGGAAAAGTAAACCCATAGATTTCTGATAGCTTCTTGCTGTGGTAGACAAACTCATAAGAAATAATGATAATATTGTATGATAACTTATTGAGTGCCTGTTATGTTTTAGCACTGGAATTATCAAGAGTAAGTGAACCAGGCAAGGTCTCCATCTTTAAGAGGAGCCTTGTAAGGGGACATAGGTAGATATTTTAGTGAAGACTTTTTGTTTTGGAAGTTTTCCCCTGGACCATTGCTCTTCTTTAGATCAGAGATAATGGAGAGCATTTGGAATATTATTTTTGGCTCATACATCCCTATAAGGCTAGGGATTTAGTTCATTGCAAGGCCCTGGATTCAGTCCTCAGATCTGCAGAAAGCAAAGCAAAGCAAAACAAAACCAAACCACAACAAACTCCTGGAAATACTTGCTGCAGAAAGTTAAGTTACCAGTTATGAAATGAAAACACTGTAATGTGGGCTTAGAAAGTGTGTGGCACACAGTAGGCATTCAGATGTTTGTTACATGAATGGTCGAGTACTTAAATCAACCACCTATTTGAGATTTGAATTTTAGTTCATCTTTTACTATATGATATTAGGCCTCAGCTCCTTGAGTTTCATTTCCTCATCTAATGAGGAGAAAGATGATGTTAATAGTGTCTTCCTGTGAAATCTAATGAGATAATGTGTGAGACAGTGTATTTACCATAGTCCTGGTTTGCAGCAGGCACTCAAATATTGCTGCTACTATTATCATTATTAAGCTAATAAACCAGTTTGGTACCAGTGACATGCTGTGCTGTTTAAATGTGATTCATGTACTGGTGATTTCTCTTTGAAAACACTACTCAGTATAGTTTTAGCTATAGTTTGAATAGAATTGAGGGTGGATCCTGACTTGTATTTCATTTCCTAGTGCCTGGGTTACTGTGGGAAATGTTTTGATTATTTTTAACCTATTTCTTTCTGGAATCAGATACCTCATTTACTTCTGATTGTACTTCCAGGTGAGCAGTATTCCCACAGCTTATAGATAAGGTACCCAAATGAATGTTCGTGGTTCAAGAGACAACAGTCAATTCAAAACAGAAATAAACAGTGGTGCTTGTAAGGTAAATTCTCTTAGTATTTACTCTTAAAACATGAAGATTTTGTTTCTTGAATATAAACTGGTCAAGAAGTAACTTAAAATGCAGATTGAGCCAAACATACTAGTTCTCTTTATGATTTATCAGTCAAAATTTATCCTTTTGTCCACAGAGTTTAAGAAAAAAAATATAATGGGCACATCCATCTATAGTGTTCTGGGATTGTTTCTAATTTTAGGTGATAATCTTCAGAAATGCAAGTAGAATTAAACCAAGTAGTTAAACCAAATCTAACCAAGTAGAATTAAAATTTGTATTTTTATAAAAATTTCCCTTAAGTAATCTTTTAAATACACATTTTAGAAATAACATCCCAATTTGATTTTGAAAATATCCCTAGCATAGTAATGCAATGTAGCATTAAATGACTCTTGTTATATTGTAGTTTTTTTTTTTTTTAAGAGCTTGGATAAGGGACAGGAATTTTATTTGTGCTTCTTTCCAAATATTTTCTGCATCGACCCAATGTCCCAATTAGAGAAAAGGTTTCTTAAATCATAGTGTTATTAAAACTTGTTAGACAGGTTGTGGTTAATGCTAACTTTATAGCTGATGTTGGATAGCTATATTAAAACTTTGGTCCCACAATCTAAGTGAAGTTTGAAGTGCTGTTATTGAACATATTGTAGTTACTAACTAAATCTGAAAACAAATGAGTAGTTCTCTTTTCTGCGGATAAATTTTTCATGAACAGAGTTTGACATTACAGATGATTTTGTAGTGAATGGTAATTTATTTGTGTAACTTTTATTTAAAGAGTTCAAAGCGTGATTTAATGTAAAAGCTATTGGTTTGGAAGTCTCATTCTGCTCGTCTCTACACTCTATGTGATCTTCATAGGTAAGATCACCAGGCTGCTTCATTTAGTCATGTAAATTATAATGAAAATAATGTCTGCCTTGACCATCTCTGAGAATCATAGTGTAAATGTTCACTAGCTAAGGAGAGTCAGTTGTTGTGGGATATATACTGCAGCAGTTGACATCAGAGGACTCAAGACAAAGAGCACTTGGTGTACAACAGATTATTTTGAGCAGCTGCAGCAGACTTGTAGGAGATTAATTAAAAATCTAGCTTGGCCAAGAGTAGGGCGAGTGTTACTGTCAGCAGAAAATGAGAAAAAAAAAAAAACCTCAAGAATAATTGAAGCACTTAGTCTTAAGAAGTAGTAATATCGGAAAATTGGGCCCTGATACAAATAAATGTTAGGCCCCTTTCTTGACTTTATTCTCTTGCCATACATAGGTACATGTTTTTATCAGTGACTAAGTAGCTCATGAAATACCGCAACTAGTTGAATATTTCTGTGTCAGTCATATTGTGAAAAATTGTGATACCTACTACCTTAAGAAGCCAAAGCAGACTATAATTTGGTCAGACTCACTAAAATTTCAGCATGCTTTACAATGCTTGAAGTGCTACCCAAATTGTGAAGATTCTGATTTTTCAGTTGAACAAGCCTGTAAAGTCACATTTATAATGATACAAATTTCCTAAAGTATGGAATTTGTTCTTTAGGTTCACCAGTTAGCCTTTTTTTTTTTTTAGGATTTACTACACAGAAGGGCAAAACACTGGAAGAATGTTGTGATGGTTGTCCTTATTTCATAGCCTTAGACTTTTCATGATTAATGAAAAACTGAGCTTAGTGTCATAGTGCACCCCTATATTCTTGGAAGCTAAACAGGAAGATGGCAAGTTTGAGTCTAGCCCAGGCAATTTAGTGAGACTCTGTCTCAAAATGAAAATAAAATTTAAAAAAGGGCTGAGTATGTAGCTCTAGTGTGAAGTCCCTAGGTATCCCTAGTACTGCAAAAACCAAACCAAAGCAGAGCCTGGCACAGTGGTATATACATGTAGTCTTAGCTATTCAAGAAGAAAGGGAGGGAGGGAGGAAGGAAGAGAAAAAAGAGAGAAGAATTTGGAACAGTAACTTGGTTGAATATTTTATAAATTAAAGTTGTGGCAGATGAGTTTGAGATTTTGAGCTATCAAATAGAATTAGTTGAGACAGGAAGTAAAGATAGTAATACTTAGGCAGCTAGGAGGCTTTTGAAAAAATCTAGACTAAGGAAGTAGTGGTGGAGATGGGGAGGAGAAGGGGATAAATTGAACAGGTATTTGGGAGATAAAAGTCACTCATCTTGGTGAGACACTCAGTTTGGAGAGTGTGGCGGGGAGGGGGAGTGTTGGTCAAAACTAGTTCTGCATTTTCTGGCTTGCATTATTGGATTGGTGTTGATTTTCTGCCAAGCACTGAGCTGGAGCCCACTAGCACAGAACCTGAATTGTAGGAAGGAGAATGGGAGAATATAGTGAGTTTGGTTTGGGGCATGTTATATTTAAGGTACCTTTCAAATATCTTAAGTGGACGTATCTAGCCCTTGTATAAGTGGTGCTAGAGTTCAGAGGAAAGGCTGACTTTTCGGAGACATTATTAGCATATTCATGATAATGAAAGATAATTAAGAAGTGCTAAAATACCAGGAAGAAGTTATAAAGTGAGAAGAGAAGAAGGTTTAGGATTGAGCTTTGAAAAACTATTGCCACTTTGGATTGGTTGGAAGAAATTATGACCACCAAGATTGAGAAGGAACATTTTACAAACTAGGAAAGTGTTTCTAATAGCCAACTAGAGAGAATGATAATGTCTCTATTCTCCTGAAAGAGCAAATAAAATAAAGATTGGGAGCTATCTATTGGGTCTAGATACACAGTGATCATTGATAAACATATATAAAGCCATTTCAGCAGTGAATTGGAAACCAAATTATTGTGGGCTGAAAAAGTGGGTTAGTTGATGAATAAAAGGAAATTGCAGGGTATAGATTACACTTTAAAAATTAGAGAAAGAAAGAAGAGTGTAGTAGGTGAAAAAGAAACCCAGATATTGGCTGAGTGAATAAATGTACATCATGAACTTCTTTAAGAAAATTTAAAGCACAGGTTAATAGGATCATTTCTGAGGTAATAAGTGGGAGGTTTATTAGGGTGATAGTGTGGAATAATAGGCAGTCATAATTTCCTGTGGTGCCTGGACAGGAAAAGGATGATCTCTTTACATAAAGGGAAATCATTTTTCAATCAGTAGTAAAGAAATAGAACTTCTGGGGCTGGGGATTTTAGCTCAGTGCCTG